AAAAAAAAGTTATTTAAAACCGCCAGGAGAGACCCGGCGAGAGGGGAGCGGATTTCTGTTTCTTCTTCTGATGCCGAGGATTGGGGTTTTGCCGCGCTCCGATAGAGCTGCATTAATTAGCAAAGGGACAGAAGGGTCTCCTGCCTTTGCAGAAGGGTTGCTCGGGCAGAGCTCAAGGACCCGGCACGATGCAGAGGCTTGCACGGGGGAGAGGACAGCTCCGGCAGCCCCTCGAATTAAGCGCAAAACCTGAAGACAGGCTCTTTTGGGGGTGGTGGGAAGAGGGGCAGGGAGAAAGGGAAAAGAAACGTAATATCTTGGGGGCTGGGGGGGAGAGATTGCATGGTGTGAATGATAATGTGCATCGCTGAGGTGGTGGCGCCCAGGAAGGTCACTGGTGGAGGCTGGAAAGAGCTCCGGGGAAGGAGAATTTTGCAAGGTGGTTTATTAAAAATAATTGACTTTCTGCGTGTCCTCCTGCTCGGTGGGCATTCGTTTGAGGGGGCAGCTCTCCTTGCCTTCCCCACCACAAAAGGCAGCAGCCCAGCTCAGACTGGCGCAGGCTTTATGCATCCCCCCACTTGCCACTGTGACTTAACACTTGAGAGGAGGGAAAGAGACTTCCAGTTTCCACATCTAGTGGGGAAACTGCAGCAGGGAAAGGCTGTGTCCTGAATCCCCAGGGACCTTTAGGGAACTGACACACTCCATGCCAGTGGCGCACGAGCCACCTCCCTCTCATTTGACTCCATCGGTCTTTATTGCTATTTGAAGGATGGGATACGGAACCTTCAGAGCAGGGTCCCGTTGCACTAGTTCTGTACAAACCCACAGAAAGAAACAGTTGCTGCACGTCAGTCCATGCATTTTGATGTGCAAGAGCAGACGAGACCCCCAACAGCAAACCAGGAAAATCAGCACTCTCCGGTAAATAGTTCCATAGCATTTACCCTGTATATCGGGTTTAAGGACACTGCTCACACATGCACACTGGTTATATCAGCATGAACAACTGCAGAATGACTTGGGAAAAACTGCAGAACTCACCATGTCAAAAATCATTATTCTTTATCAACTGGATCATGGCAGTACCCAGAGGCCCCGCGCAGGGCTCACAGTCCCATTGTGTTGGATACTGTAGACACATGTAATAAGAGAGATGGTCTATGCCCAAAGAGCTTATGATCTTAACCCATGATGAAAGACAACAGGTGTATACTAAAGACCCATGGGGGAAGGATAAGGGAAAAGCAGCCTTGAGAATAAAAAGCAACAGGCCTGGCCAATGACAAGTGTTTGGTGTCAGAAGGAAGTTTTAAGGAGATTTGAAGGAGAACAATAAAGGAGCTTTATGGTTATTAATGGGAAGGTTTTTCCATGCGTAATGGCTAACTTGGAAGAGAACGTAAAATGGCTTGTTAGGAAATTGGACTGCTGAAAAGTGAAGGTTTGTGCCACTGGCAAAGCAGAGGGAATACTGCAGAGTGACTGAAGGGCCTGGTATCTGGTGTGCTCTCAGTCTAGAAACAACTGGGAAAGAGGCTCCCAGCTCCTTTACGGTGCTTTAAAATTTACATTTCTAGTCCCAGGGAAGAGTATTATATGGAATTTTAATTTTTTCTCTAGTCCAGGATTCAGTATTTTCTATCTTGTACTTCACATCAGCATACCTTATGAAAAATATCTGAAGGTAAAGAAGAAAGTATTGGTATAGTTGCTTTTTTTTTTTTAAAGAACTTAAATGAAAGCCCACAGATTATTGGCTATAGGAAGTTTAGTGTTATAAAAGTGTTATCTAAGTTGAGGCTTTGATGTCTGAATTACTCATAAGTATCAAAGCCACACATGAATTATGCAGGACATCCCCAAAATTATACCCATCTGTGAGTAGGTGGTGTTCCAACCCTGCTTCACATAAAATCTATGTGTGATGTGTAATGTCAAACTTACCCCTTACAGAAGTTTGGCTTTACTGATAGCTGGGGCTGTATTAAAAACCTACACTTTTATCCCCAAGACACTGAGGCAGGAACATCCCTACCCCTAGCTCCCCTCTACTCGAGATTCACACCCACTTCCCTTATACCCTCCTGGAATTAAAGACTGCATCTGCCACAGTGAGTCATCAAGAGCTTACTCATCAGCTTTATGCAGGATTTTAACTCCTGCAAGCAGAGCTGGTCAGAAGGATCCTGCATTTCTTGAGGAGTTCCTGGCACACACTCTCCTCACACGTACCACACTATTGTGACACCTCTGGCAAGTTTTAGATATTCTGACTTCTTTTTTTTAATAAAACTGCTTCACCTGTACTCTGCCAACCAGTTCAGCTTTACATGAACTTTTCACGTATCAATTTTTAAGTGTTGTTTAAAAAAATAAATCAGCCTGCCATAAGAAAATGTGGGGTTTTTTTCATTCCCCCAGATTGCACGATTTCACCAAAAGTACAGGATCCTATTCTGGGCCTACAATCTATCTAACAACTCATTTATTTTCCAACTTTGCAGATGGAGAACTGGAAGACTTTTCTTATTAAAAAGACTTTCCCATGAAACACATGGCATTTGCCATTTTTACTAAAATGTCTTGAGTCAGCAAACTTTTAAAAGCTGCTTTTTTCATAAGTCGAGACTACTGTATTTGCAGATTTCTTTACAAATAAGGATTTTTAGGGTACTTTGAAGCATGATATACACCTGGATATGATAAGAGTATTCATTCACCTCACCTCACTTGAGGCTGCTACAATGGAGACGTCGAGATCTAAACTACTTGTTCTTTAACGCAGAGAAATAGGAGCAATTTTAGGGCACAAATCATCTGACCTATTCTAGGCGTCTACTTTAGGATGACATGACTCATGCTCTAAAGATGCTTAATTCTTCTGCGTGTATGAAGGGAGCCTATATTAGATGTAGACTTCTACATGACAGAGGTCTAGATAGGACTGGATGGATCCCACCTGCTGTGCTATACATGTGATTCAGCATTTCCCCAGAACGGCTGATGAGGGCACTAATCTATTAATATAGCTGCACAAATTAATCCTCCAAAGAAAACTCATGTCATCTCAGCAACTAAAAGTTACTGAAAGTCATGATTATGAAAGACTAGATTGCCTGGAAATAAATAAAATACTTGTGAAAACCTATTAGCCATGTGATTCAGGTTAACTGGATTAATATAAGAAGTGCCTACAAGTTTAGAAAATTTAAGCTAGAAGAATGTATTTGCTCTCTCACTTCAGAAACTGTAGAAAAACCAGTATTTATGACAAAAAAAATTACCTACAAGAATCCCAGAAGCCAACAGGAAAGGCCTCGTTTCCCAGTTCACCAAATTTTCAGACCAGCATAAAACATGCAGTTTAGATGGAAAACACCGAGAAAACACCAGCATCAGTGTCGCCATGCGATACGCAGCCACAGCAGGATATCGGACATGAATTTCTTATGGCGTTATGGTATTTTGCCGCTTCCAGGAATTAGTGAATCTACGTTAAATAAGCATTGGCAGAATATGATCTTTGTGACTGTCCTAGGGAGGGAGTTATCAGGCTATATGTTTTAAGATATCTTAATTTAAGTACAAAAGTAATAATGCCATTATCGGTCAGATACAGTTGAGTGCATTGACACAGGTGTTGATATAGTCTTTTGGAATGCATGTCCTCGTTGGTAATACTTGAAGGTAGATAGGGTGATGTAAGTGTGAAAGCTGCCGAAATACGTTTAAAATTTCTCCGATGTTTGTATTTGTACATGGCTTGTATCTGCTGGTTTTAGTAATGAATTGATTGTCCATCATGTTGCAAGTCCCTCCAGCTCAAGAGCCAAAGCGCCGTTGACTGGAAGGAGAAAAGGGGAAGAAACCAGAGCTGCCACGGGTGCAGGTGACCGCAGAGGCCTCCACATGGCAAGCGATTTGCGTGGCACGGCTCACACGACTGCTCCCTGGGAGAACGGGTCTGCCACTGCCCGCCCTTTGCCTTGCTCACCTTCCCTGCCCAAGCACATGCGGTGTCTAATCGAAGAGGTTTCTGCCTTCTTCACGCTCCCAAACTGTTGGAGCTCATTCGCGACTGCAGGCTCGGCGGGGTTTGCCGGCAGGCCGCAGGGCGTCCCCGAGGTTCTTCCTTTGCCCGATGTACTGTTTTTGCGGATAGTTCGCTGTCTGAAAGATGAGGTGGCATTCGTATGCCAACCAAGTCACATACCCAGACCATCAGCTGGACGCTACTTACCGGTGCTAGACCCGAGCTGCAGCCGGCGGCCGGCTCCTCGTCACCTCCCCGGGAGCAGGGAGAAGGTGCCTCTCGGCGCTGGCTC